TTAATGTCGTAGTAGGAGGACTGTCCTTGAGATGACACAGTTACCTGTATTTTACTGCAAGCAACTATTTCAACAGATAAAAAGTTTGTTTTATTCTCACAGAGTCTATGTAAGCATCTTACATGATTTGCATAGCCCACATACTGCTTTGTACTCTACAACAGCCCAACATTTATATACTTGCACTCTGCTGTGTATGCTGGGGAGTTGTATGATGGTAGAAGAAGCACATGCTTTGATAGGGTTAGAGCTGGTGATCCTTTTTCCTCATTCACCAAGCTTATATGTTCTGCTGACAGCACAATGAAGTGCCAGCAAAATTACTTCCATTTTTCTCCAAACTCTGTGTTTCTTTGTGCAGAAATGGGTTAATTTGGGAATCAAGGGGTTTCTTAACTACATAGAAATAGTCTTAGCAGGAGTCAATAAATCCAGATTTCTTTTCCTTTATGTAATCTTTTCCACTTCATTTAATGCTGTGACGTTAGATAGGCAGTCCTGCTCATAGTACATTGGGAAAGTTACTTGGCCACTCTGAGTCTCAGAGTTACCATTTGTAAAAGACAAGTCTATAGAAACTTGGGGGACATAGCCCTATAATTCAAATCACATATCTATGTATATCTTATCCTAAGAGGTGGAATGGTCAGTTGGTTGGCTACCTATTGGTACTCCAAGAATACTTATAACCCAAGAAAACTTCAATTGGCACACTCTGAAAGGGGCTACTGCAGGATAGGGATTCTCAGTAATCAGTTTGAGGGTTCATTATAGGAACCTTGGTATATCTTCCATCTAGAAAACATCCTATCCTGCAAAGACAGCTAGCAAAGGTAGAGATTTTAGCTCACACTTAAAAAGTGGATTGACATTCTAAAATTGACTAGGTGAAAGTTAAAACATAAAAAATCAATTTGCTCAAGATGGGCAATTGTTGTCAATAAAAATTGGTAAACCTCTCAAATTCTTCTTGTAAGTGAAAGATTCTTACCCTCTTGCTGGAATATTTGATTTTTTTTCAGGATTAAAAAGGCAGCTATGTCCTAATGTTCATTCAATTTTAGGATAACAACAAAGGTTTCATGAATATGAAATGCTAGTTACACAAATATGAAATGGATCTGTGATGAGGATACTGGGTACATGATAAACAGTCCCAAAAGGCATTACACCTGAGACCTTAGCTTTCTTTCTAGAACATCAGCAAACAGTTCAAAATTAATGTAGCGCACCATGCAATTTGCCATGTTGCTACACTAGCCTGATGATTTTTCCCTCATTATATAAAATCTAATTAGTTAAAGGGCAATTCAATGGAACTTTTATTTGGGGGATTTAGAAGTATTAAAACAAGGGGGAAAATCAAACAGACACTGCAGCTCTCTGAGTAGAGTGAACATGATTATTAATAACCCTTGGGTGGGCAAATGATTAACCTTGTTATTTTTCCTTCTCACCATTCAAATTTATACAACAAATTATCACTGCACAAAAATATTTGGATGCTGTACGGAAAACAACTTTTACAAGGTCTCCAACTGGCATCAAATGTTCTCAAGTATGAAAACATCTCTGGGCTTTCTCAACAGGCTGATGGATCCCTGCAGGTAGCATTTCCCTTGTTTAATAGTCCTGCCAATTAAATCAAATTAGAGATGAATTTTTAACTCTGTGATGAAGGCAATGCTCATTATAAGAGAAAACAGGAGAATGAGATATTTCCCTTAAGTGAATTGTTGTTTCAAATTCAATAAATGGGCCATGGGGGAAGGGGATGTCAAACAGCTCCATCACTGTTATATGCTTTGTATACCATCGCATCAGTCAAATGAAAGTTACTTAGGAGAATAATCTGTAGTCCGAGTTGCAAACCATCTATTTTCCCATTTTTCTTTTGTGTTTATTTAAAAATTTCAAGTATTTTTAAAATGGACTTTCTTGATGTCATATTTCATTCCCTGGAGGATTTACCTTTTATATTTGACTAATCTATCATCTGCCTTTGTAAGAAATAATAATCACCCCCACAAAGCTATTAAACATTAGGACAGTTCTTGCCAGCCTAATTATACTCTTTATATTATTTAACATGATTAATTCAACTCTTTGTGTTGCTGGACTGAGAATTAGATAATATATGTTAGAAGGTAATGATTAAGTTCTCACTATAAACAAAAAACACCCACAGTAAACCATCTATTAATTTGGATCATCAGCATCAACAAATGTTCACTTGAATAAAATTGTAAATTATATGTATATGAACTGCTGTCATATGAGGTTAAATAGAAACAATGGTCACAAAGCTCAAATGGCTACGGATCCACTTGGGGATTCATTAATTGCTGACAATATCATTAGCTTTTTTTTTTTTAGCCATGGGTCAAAGCACATCAAAAAGCAAAAAGACTGAGTTTTAGATCAAGTGCTCTTAGAATGTTTGAGGAGCCTATTTCCTAGTAGATAGACAGCAGCAAGTACAAATAACCTTAATGGCAAATTTGTTTTTAAAATATTTTTAACAGATGATCAGAATGGATAGCCACTCTGTCCATGTATTTGAATCTTAATGCTGATGGTGACAATATGAAATCTGTATTGAAGTCTATTAGAGCTAAATGCTCCAGTCATTATAAAATATAGCATATGCATATGAACTTATGGTTACAAGCATCAATATTTTACATCGATAGATAATATACATCATTTATTTTCCACAAAAAAATACTTTGATGGTCAGAGGCTCATGGGTGTTTCATTTGTTACAATGGGATCTTCCTAGACAGCCATTGGGATTGTATTCATTGGTTCCTTCTTTGGCCTGAAGAGAGCAGCCCTGGAAAATGCCCAGACTTAGCTAAATATCCAAGAAACTTCCTCTTCTCTATCTTGTATCTTGAATTCAACTGCCCGTACCCTCTGCACCTTCTAGGCCTGGCAATGAATCATCTACTCGTGAATTCTTTCCCTGTGGAGAAGAAAAGAATCCACCAGTGCACACAAGAAGCACTGTGCAAGGCCACAAAGAAGGAACTTTCTAATGCCATTAAAGACACCTGGGAGATAACGTGGTGTTTTATGGTGTTATCACAAATCTCTTTACCTTAAAAGTCAGGCAGCAGGCAAGCTAGTCGTGTGTGATACTGGATAATCCCTGAATAATCTTCCATCTTGCTTATTAGAAATTAAAAAACAAAAAACACCCATTGTGCTCTAAGGTGCATAGCCAGAGGTATTCAGACTACAGACTATTGTTTTGAGTCATAGAGTTTTTGTCACAGATATTAGTAGCAAAATTTTCTCAGGTTCCTGATAATAAGCATTAGTACATTTTCCAAAGGAACAACACAGCGTCCTTTCAGGTCACCACTGATTTCAAAAGGTAATTGTGCAAAACAAAATTGGAATTTCTTGATTCAATGTGTAAAAGGTCAACATCTGCTGATGCTCAAAGATGGGGAATGGGGTGGAGGCGGCCAAATGAGATGTGGAGTGAGCAGGTACAGTCAGAGGTCCATGCAACACACAACTGGCTCCCAGAACAGAAACACACCCCAGCACCAAAGAGCTGCTTTTCTACTCATCCATTTCTGAAACTCTGGCCATGCCAGATCACAAGAGCCCCTCTGGTTCCCTCTGCTTTAAAATTGTTCAAGGACAGTTGTCAAGGCCTGAAAGGAGCACGTTGGGCTACACACATAGACAAGTGCCAAGCACTGAAGCAGAAATATTAGAGCTGAACATGCTCATTGGAAAGGTGGCCCCAAGACCACTTTTGTGAGAACACAAAGACAGTGCTGATATTGTGGGTTTGTGTCAAAATGGTTGTCAATGCTGCTTCTGATTGTAGAGCAGCTGATTTTCATGGTGTTCAACATGTCTAATGCTAAAATTTGCTTTTGATGAGTGACCATCATAAGAACCAGTCTTCTTTCCATTTACAGTCCTAACTGAGGTTTCCTTAGTATTTTATTTTTAAACCAGTGAGTCAGTAGTGGCTCTAAGGTTTTTGCCATTGAATATAAAGGGCATGCTGTAAAAAAAAAAAACAAAAAAAAAAACTGTGTGAAATTATGTTCTGAAACAGTATCATACATGTTTGTAATGAACATTTCCAGCATTGGGTAAGGCTGCACTAATTCAGACAGGAAGAAGAGTTGCAGCCTGAGCCTCTTGTAGTAGCTGAAGATGCTCAAAGCAGTGATGTTAGAAAGGGTTGTCCAGAGAGTGGAGGGAAGATTTCTCTTCAATTGCTAGGATTTCTACTGAGAGATTTCTTTAGGAAGTTTTGGTCCCATGCATATATATATATATATATATATATATATATATATATATATATATATATATATATATATATCCCTTTCTTACCAATGAGAAAACAAAAGACTCCAGAATGAACAGACCACTGTAATTCTGGGGAAAGGAGTGGGCGGTGTGCAAACTGATTGCCTTTAATTTCTCAGGATGATTAATGATCATAAGCCCACCCCTTTCAGGCCTTCACAAAACCTACATTTTAATGCATTGAAAGATTTCCTCCCTGGCTCCATGGTGTTTTCCTTGAATTTTAATGAACACACTTAGGACGTTCACGGACTCTCATTCTCTGCTTCTCTCAGTTACATTAGGAATCCAAACTCGGTCCTACAGAGAGAGTGCAATCTGTTGTTGGTTACTAAATATGAAAACAGACTGTATATAAGATGAGATGTATTTATCTAAGTAGTTGCTTCTCCGTTCAGGTCTCAGTTCAGGTGGCCTTCACGTGTCCAAAGTCATTAGGAGAGTTGGCAGTGCATGTCTACAGAAGAGCTGTGCATGAGCCACTCACTATTTTATCTGTGTTCCCAGTCACTTGTACCTAAAACCAGAAGGGAACTCGAATTCCCATAGACAATGCTCTATTGCATCAGAAATGGACATAAGAAAAGAGCTCTGAGGAGCTGCACAACAAAGCAAAGCTAGCCTAGGTTGGGTTTGGTGATTGTTTTACTTACTACCAATACTGGAAATGCTGGGGATACCTGCAGAGACAAAACAAAACAGAACAGTGAAGAACTGTTAGCTATATATCAGGTGACATCTTTAACTTACTGTAAAAGTCTCAGAAATGTGACACTTGGTGACTCAGATGATCAGAAATTAGTATAGAAAATTTACATAAAATATACGTGTGTATGCATGTATACACACACTGCAATCATTTGCATTGATTCTCGAACTCTTCAGCTCATCAGAATTGAAAAGTTCATGTCCACTTTCAATCAGGAGTGCAAGGATGCCTAGTTACATCAAACATTTTGTGCTTATTTGTAAGGTTAACGAATAAATTCTATGTGGTTCGGAGCAGATATGAAGCTAGGGTTTTTATCTGACCACACTACTGAATATAAGCCATGTGCACTGGGTCTCTTTAAATCTGTTACAAGGTACATACATTAGCTGCTGAAAAATCATTTGACAGTTTATTTGATTAATTTGACATAGTCATCCCTTTTATTCCTCTTTTACTTGTCAGATATGTGGATTAAACTCTGTAATAGAAACTTAATTGAGCAGAATAATTCAAGAATACATTACATTGTTCATATTGATCATGGACTTCACCGATTATTCAGCTGCTCTTTGATTCACAAGTCGTGGTAAGTTAGTGAAGCCATTTCAGAGTTTGGCTTGATGTCTTAGAAATGTGGACACACCTTAAGTCTGCATCCGCATTATGACTCCTACTCACCAGTATAGTAGTTTGGCCAAGTCTCAGCAGCCAGGACATCTAAATCTGAAGGGTGGATCCAACTCCTAAATCCTTACGAACCTTGTAATCTTGAGCAAGTTTCCTATAATCTCAGTGCTCACTTAGTTTCCTATCTCTCTATTTGTTGTGGAAATGATATAAACTGATAGATGGAAAGCATCTATACCATTATTTCGTAAGTAGTGTTCTTGCAATAGTTATGCTTACTGTCTTAGCTTGCTCGTAAAGCAGGTCTGTGGTAGATATTGCTGATTAAATATCAGGGATTTACCCCCTGACACCCAGTTTATGGTTTCTGTATGGGTGACAAGGAGATGGAGATCAGGCAGTCCTGAGTGAGGGGCCTGCATTGCTACTACTGACTAGTTAGGAGATTTTTAGCTGATCCAAGCCTGTTTCCTCATCTGCAAAGAGGCCAATCATATCTAATGCATTGGGCTACTGTGAGGATTGAACAAGATAATCCTGAAGCATGTCTGACCCAAGGTATGCAACCAGTAAGTAAGAGCTGTCAATGAGTTGGTCAGTCATGTTCTTCACATCGCTGAAATGTGCTCACAGGTGGAAACTGTAAGAACTGTTAAGCCTCTATTTTAGCACTCATGTCCTAACAACTGCCCTCTTCATAACTGAACTGATCACTGTACCTTTTTTTCTGAGACCTCTAGCTTTGTAGCCTTTAAAAATAAAGCTTTATTTTTCTGTGGTAATGTGAGAAATGGAAGACTATACGATAAAGGGCTATTATTATGTATTTAGAACCCTGGAAAGAGGAAAGGTTAGAGTCTTTTCAGTTATCAGGTACACAAAAGATCTCTTTATTTTAGATGCTTGGAGTTTACTTACATTGTTATTGTGATTTTTGTATTGTTTGTACATGTGTATGTGTGTAGAAGAGGCACTTACTCCAGCCTTCACATGTAGAAGGCCAGTGTTCCGTTGTCTTCCTCTATTCCTTCCCATCACATATTTTTTAAGACAGGGTTTCACATTCAGCTTGAATCTCACAATTTTTGCTAGACAGATTTGCCAGTCTGGCCTTGTGATGTGTCTGTCTTGTACCTGCCCTCAGTGCTAAGTTTACAAGCATGTGTCACTGGGTCAGTCTTTTATGTGGGTACGGGGGATCTGAACTCAGATTCTCAGGCTTGTGCAGCAAGCACTTTGCCTGCTGAGCCATGTCCTCGGCCCCTATATACTTGGAGTTTATAGTAAGTACTTCAGCTTAATTACTTATTTCTGTTCAATCACAATTGGAAAACTAAATGTCCATATTTCAACTCTCTCCTATGAACTGAATTTAAACTGAATGTGATTTCTGCAAAGGATAGCTAGGCTCTGAGCCCAACACTTTAGTCAACTATCTCTACTGCAGTGTGACATTGACTTGGTACTGAACCCTTTTTTTTTCCATTTTTGCAAATTCCCCACTGAGTGAGGTGTGATGGCAGCATCATAATTTTAGTCTCAATTGCAGAAGCTCAGAATTTCCTCATGACTGAAAACTCTTTTCTCATGCAAGGCACTGCTTGCTTGTTGCAATCCATCAAAGAGAATGGAAGTTGAGATAGCAGGGAGAGACTCTTCATGTGTCTTCAAACTTCACGGAGGCAGAGGGCCATGCATAAATGCAAGGTGAACTGCTCAGGGAGTTCCACCAGACACAATAATAAACAAGCTTGCGAGGCAGTTTACTGCAGCGCTTGCTTCTGTAGAATGCTTCAGAAAGATGCAGAAGTGTTTTTGGTTTTGTTCCTTTGGGGCCACAAGTGCAGGAGAACCCTATTCATCCCAAGTTTCCACACAGTACCAACCATGACTATTCTGAGAGTTTATTTCCCTCATGAAGATGCTATTACCTAATGCTGGGTGCTTAGAATTCAGGCTCTTCTTCATTCTGTGCCTTGTTTTTTTTTTTTTTTTGAGGTATTGCCAGATGAGTCATTCTTCATTCCATGTCTGTAAAAATGGTAATTGCTCAGAAAAGATTTTGAAACTGCTCATTTGAATGAAAAGTTTTGAAATTGAATATATCTGAACAGTAAGGGATGTCCATTAATTTATTTCCAAGTGCTATTTTCTCCTAATGGTTCATACTTTAATGTCAAAAGCTCCTTAATTTTCATTGTCTGTGGGCAGCTGAAGAACTTAGTAAACCCAGTGCATCCACTAGAAAGACCACATGTAAGCTGTGAGAAATGCTTTAAGAACTCAAGAAAAGAATGCAGGAAGGCCTAGAAGTGGAAAGCTGGTGTCTTCAAGCTCCATAAACTTGAACCCAGGGATTTGATCCCATCTTACAATGGCCAATGCAATCACAAGTGATAGTATGACTCAGATTGTGTTGGAAGAAATTGTCTAGGTACATGTTGGCATTTTTCTTTTTCTTTGTAATGCTCCCTATAATGTGGTAACTTTTGTGTAAAGAATGTTTTATCTTTGGAACTGAGCTCATAAATGTTTTCTTCCCTTCTTTCTCCATATCCTCATGTTGGCTGTTCTCTCTACGATCTTGTAATTCTTTGTTCAGGCTTCCATGATGGATTTATCCACTTTTCTGCAATTCAGTTGTGTTTCTCTGAGAGCACTGATGAAGCAAGTCCACTTCCTTTTCCTTTTTGTGTCCCTCATATTGTTTTGGGACAAAGTATGATACAGAAAAGTTTCACAAGACATCAGTGCATTGGTTCTGGGGACTAGAAATGTGGTTTCATCATGCTTGGCAAGTGCTTACCACAGGGCTGTTTTACAGCCTTCTTTCTACTTTATGTTTTGTGATAAGGTCTCATTGAGTTGTTCAGTCCGATTCATTCCATGCTCCAGGAAGACTGTGGTGATATTTTATTTGTGCACCCCAATAAAGCTTCTCTGAGGATCAGAGGAAAAAGCCAGCCACTATATTATACATAGAGGTCAGGCAATGATAGCACATGCCTTTAGTCATAGCATTTGGGAGACAGAGATTCATCCGGATCTCTGAGTTCAAGGCCACACTGGGAACAGAGCCAGGCATGTTGGCACATGCCTTAAATTCCAGCACTAGTTAAGCATAGAGGTCTGGAGGTCTGTACAGACAGACAGGAAGTGATAGAGCTAGGTGGAAAGAGAAAAGTGATGTAGCTGTGTGGAGAGAGGAAGTGAGACGGCAGGCACAGAAAGGATATAGGTGTGGGTACACAGGAAGTAGGTCTCTTTTGGGCTGAGGATTTCCAAGTGGTAGGAACATGGCTGGCTTCTTTCTGCTTCTCTTATCTTTCAGTTTCTCCCCAATATCTAGCTCCAGGGTTTTATTAATAAGACCATTTAGCAATTCATCTTACAGAAGACCTTTATTGGCAGAACCAATACTGTGACCCCCCTGTCTCAGGATTCCAAGTGGTTGTGATCAAAGATGTAATAGGAAGAATTATTAAATGTACTGATTCCTCTCACGACTTTGCCATTCATGAAACTCACTTGGTCAAGTCCAGCATTGTGCTCAACTGAAGAATTAGCCTGACATTGAATGTCTGGCCTATTTTCTTTCTAGTTTTTTGTCTATCTCTTTTATTTTAATTGCCATTTTGATGCTTTCATTTATATTTTCCCCTAAATTACCTATGGGCAAATACAGTTTTTTTTTTAGGACACATTAGGAAATTTAAGAATTCTCCTTAATAATAAGCATATCACCTTAACGTTTAAAGTTAGATATTAAATTGAACTTCTTTATTTGAAGAACTTGAAATTTAGATGTCATTAGCTTTAATGATGCTCCAGAAAAATAAATAGATGTAGTACATAATAAAAATACACTAACAAAGAAGGAAGTGGGAAACCAACACAAGCTAATTCTCAAAGGTTGGTAAAGGTTTGAGACCTTAAAGGGATTTAACAAATCATCGTATTCAGCCTTTCATTTCACAGAAGTGTCATAAGGAGCTGCAGGCACCTAAGCTGACCCCTTCATATGTAGCACTAGAGCATGTGACTCCCAGTCTCTGTCTGAGCAGTGTAAACACATCCTGGGAAAAGAAAATGCAGTTGCTCATCCCTTCCTATTCCCACATGTCTGTTAATCTTTATTATAATGGAATTCTGCTGAAAACAGAGACAAGAATGTAATAGAATTATATAATGTTATAAAGTGATATTTTCTTCATTTTCAAACTGTTTTATTTGGCTAGCTCTTTCTCCATCAAGCAAATAGCTAAAGGGTATGTAACTAAGCTTAGAGAAGTCAACATGGTGGAGATTTCAAAAAAATAAATACCCAATCTGCAAAAGCAG